TCGACCGAAATTTCATACGCTTACTTATTGATTAAAAAGGTATTATAAATGATATAAGCTAAAAGAGGTATGCTCTATCTTTGCACTCATGCACTCGTTGAATTCAGTATGGTCATGGCCTAATGGTGTGAGGGGTAATGTGTTATTCGTTTAACTCTCACATAAATGTTTCAAATATAGGTGAGGTTGTAAGTTGCGATCTACAAGAGGCTGAAATCACATTCAAATATGGAGTATTCTTTTATCAATAAAGAAGTAAATTAGGTATAAATTATTAAGTATATTCAATTCTTCGTAGGTAGTAATACTATTAGTTTCTAGTGCATCATAAGGGAATAGTGGACTTGAAAAGCCTTCGAGTTGTTGATAACTGGAGTAAAACGTTTATGAATTCCAATTATGGCGCTATTTTTTATTAAAATGCTTAAAATTATAAGGAAGTAAATTTAAAGCAGCAGGAATGCCTAAATATTCATTCTGACGATTGTAGCAATGCAAAGATGGGCCAGCATTCTTTGGCGACATTATGTAGAGAGTAGAACTAAATGAAGTGACACTAAATTATTTAATGTTTTTACAGTAGGAGCAAAGGAAAAAACACCCTACCTGTCATTATTTCGGCAAGGTTAGGCCGACAACAAAATGGGCTTTTAGTAGGCTAAAGCCATAAATGCTAAGAAATTCTTTTCTTCAAGGAAATTTTCGCCGCCAGATTAAAATAAGCTATTGCATAGTTTTATGTTGCTGTAGTGGCATCTGTGTAAGACTAGTCTATCGGCTAAAACACAAAAGGTTATCTTAATCCAAACCGCCCGGCAATGGTATATGAATCCGGAAACCAAAATGGCGTCTCGAGTCTTGCAGGATTTGAATAATTTACGGCTAAAGTGAATATTATGAGATATACAAAAATTAAAATGACTTATCTGGATTGAAGCAATAAATAGATGAAATGAAGCCAGAATTTCGTTTAGTTAGTAGATAGAATTAATGGGATTAAAGAAAAGATCAAATGGTAAAGCTTAATTTTAATTTGACTGAGGGTGACGCCTTAAGAACCAATAGAACATTTTTTAAATAAGTTGTTTGACCTTGTTTTCGCAACTTGTTCATATTGGTAGGACTTAGAGGAACGCACGTAGCCCGGAGTCCATTGTATGCATGTGATAGTGAAGGTGTGATACGAGGATATAGGATAGGTGAATAGCCCATGACAGAAGAAGAGATATCACCACTGCTTAGCGTACATTTGGTCAGAGGATCGGCATCACTTGTCCCTTTGACGAGTTATAGTGCAGTGCTAAGAATGACAAGATTCACTGACGATGCCGGCTAAACGTCTGGGAATGTACTACGTCCACGGTCCGACTTTGGAAATTATTATTCATACAATGGACTCCGGACTAGCTGAGTTCCTCTAAGTCTTCCTACCAATACGACCAAGTTGCGAAAACAAAGTTAAATAACTTATATATAACGAAAGAAGACTTTGACCACGAAAAAAGCCTGCATATCTTAGAAAATTTTTTTAAAAGTGGGCTTCCGAGACTGTCTATATAACATATGTATGAGATGTATTCACCCTAAGGTACTTGTAGTTTAATTTTTCTCACCACAGAATGGAAAGGCCTGTCATTTCTTGAAATTCACATTTCCCCTGTGACCCACGGGCACTCGTGACAGTGTAGTGTAGTAGCTAAAGTGTCGAGATCATACACTGCATTAACAGGGCTCAAGGGCCGCCGGGAGTGCTGATGAGATATAGGTAAGGTCGAAACTGCAGTCCATTCTTGTCTGGATATTTTGAGCAGCAAGGATATGAGAAATTTAATGTAGGAAAAATTCAACTACCAATGCTTAACCTTAACAAAATAGGGTCAATACATCTAATAGATAATCACAATGCAGAGCCATATTACGAATCAAAATATGGAACATGATATGGGCCATTAAATGTATGGAATAGTATTCTCCAAATACACAATAAGGGGGAAACTTTACATATCGAAAGCTGCTAGTTAGAGCTTGATACTCATGGGCTTTAATAAGCGAACTATGACATTTACGTCTCGAGGCCGATTTTAATCTATATGCATTCCTTAGCCGTTTGTCAGTATTCTTAATGGGTCTGTCATGACTCTGCCTTTGGGAGACGTTGCAATAAGAGCTCTTGTCACTGCCTGGTGCACACCAGTGCCAGGTTTACTATGGCACCATTCATTAGCGAATCTTTCTCCCTTTAGCGTCTGGGTAGCACCTATAGGCATAAGCAGTTAAACATTGATTAATAATCGATATCATCAATGCAGAGGAGACCTTCAAGCTGGAAAAAGGGGCCTTGATTGGTTAATGCAAGATGATTGTCAATCAGCACTTGACTCAGACTAAGAGCCCCTCGAATAGCCTATAACATTAATGCTGTTTAAAGAACCTTAAACGGTTAGTAGATTTAACTCGTCAAGATGAAGTCAGGGATAGCATTTACCACTTGACATTACTTTAACACATCATACATTTCCGGAAAACCTGTTAAACCACTGATACTTACATCATGAACAGGTGCTCTGATAAATTGAAACTTAGTTTCATCAATTCTGTTAATGTCATTAATCTATGCATGGAAAAACCGAAGGAATAAATTACAGTAATTAAGTCAACTAAGCCAATCTAAAATAGTGATGACATTTGAAAGCCATTCTAAGTACCGAATTTAAGAAAATATAAGCGAAAAAACTTTCTCGATTTAACTTCTTTAACCCTATCATGACGATAAATGGATTATAATTACGATTTGTATTCAAAATGGGCTGCTAGAAAGATATGCCGAAAGTCAGACAACAGATGAATAGCAACTTTCTATTGTTTTTTTTAATTTCACCGGATGAGTGCCAATTATAATAAACAAATGAGATGTCTATATTCGAATGAAACTGGCTGAAAAACAAGGGGGCAGATAAATAAGAGTCAATAAAGCGAGTTCCTTGATTCCAAAGCAGAAACTGTCTTCCCTTCCTTTGCCTAAAGTGATTCTGATAATTTACAAGTGAAGTTTACAAGTCCGTGCAAAATTCTTATATGTTTCCCAGAAAAAAAGTCTATACTTCTACGCGTAAATTCGGCCAAAGGGAGTCGAAACTAAGTAGAATATCATCAACTAATGAGGAATACTAAGGAAAATCAACATAATTAGATTAATGCACCGATTTGTGAGCAGGAACTTTGCAGAAACCTGGAGGAGAAACTTTTAAAAGTCCATTATTCTGAAATTAGAAAAATGTATGGGAGTAATTTACAAGTGATAAACGATTTAGCCTCATGGAAATATAAGAAAAATCAATAAAGGAAATTTATATAAAAAGTTAGAGGCGTGCTATGATAAAAACTAATAAAAACATTCTGGCAAGTCAAATGATTATATGAATTGTATAGAAGGAATATGGACCAAAAATGTCAATTATTTCAAAACGCTGATTGACAAAAATATCAAAGAATCCAGGTGCTAAATTGTCTCAAGCCATGTCCATTCGAAATAAAATGAACAAAAAATATGATAGTACGAGAAATGTTGCAAGGCCCGAAATATAATAGCAAAATGCGACAGCTAGGAGTGCTGATCAAGGATGCACACAAGCAGAAACAAGAAGAGAACAGAAAGGCGTTCCTGCTATAAATTATCAAATCAAGTGCCGTTGCGAAGTTGGAAAGACGAAAGTAAAACGATCCTATCGGATGGGAAGTAGTGCTTAAAGGTAAAGTAGAACAAAAATCCATGCCAGGCTGCTAATCAGCCTGAACTGAGAGTATAGGCGCAGAATGCGTAAGAAGTAAGCGAAGTAGATCGAGTGGGGCCGAAAGATCCACCTCGAGACTACAACCAACAGCCAACGTATGAAGAGCGAATTTTACAAACTCAGACCTTTCTTGGGCAGTTGGAGTGACAACCGACGGCGAACATTCATCAAGAAATTGCTGAATGGGCATGGGCAAATTAGTAATAGCCGATGGAGACCGGGAAAGCAAGCTGGGCAACGTGTGATAGACCAAATTCCTGTTCTGAGTAAGTAAAGCCAAGAAATTTTCCTGAAAAAAAAATTAAGGTGATAGTTGTATTAGCTAAAATAAAAAATATCATTATTTCTCCTCGATAATGATAAAAGTTGTCAACAGAGAAGTCAGCGTGAGCAGTAGTAGAGATCATAAGGATAGAAATAAG